TGTCATCTCCCCATAAGCATGTCCTCTCCCCATAAGCATGTCATCTCCCCATAAGCATGTCCTCTCCCCATAAGCATGTCCTCTCCCCATAAGCATGTCCTCTCCCCATAAGCATGTCATCTCCCCATATGCATGTCCTCTCCCCATAAGCATGTCCTCTCCCCGCATGCATGTCCTCTCACCGTATGCATGTCCTCTCCCCATAAGCATGTCATCTCCCCATATGCATGTCCTCTCCCCATAAGCATGTCCTCTCCCCATAAGCATGTCCTCTCCCCATAAGCATGTCCTCTCCCCATAAGCATGTCCTCTCCCCATAAGCATGTCCTCTCCCCATAAGCATGTCCTCTCCCCGCATGCATGTCCTCTCACCGTATGCATGTCCTCTCCCCATAAGCATGTCATCTCCCCATATGCATGTCCTCTCCCCATAAGCATGTCCTCTCCCCATAAGCATGTCCTCTCCCCATAAGCATGTCCTCTCCCCATAAGCATGTCCTCTCCCCATAAGCATGTCCTCTCCCCATAAGCATGTCCTCTCCCCATAAGCATGTCCTCTCCCCATAAGCATGTCCTCTCCCCATAAGCATGTCCTCTCCCCATAAGCATGTCATCTCCCCATAAGCATGTCCTCTCCCCATAAGCATGTCATCTCCCCATAAGCATGTCCTCTCCCCATAAGCATGTCCTCTCCCCATAAGCATGTCATCTCCCCATATGCATGTCCTCTCCCCATAAGCATGTCCTCTCCCCATAAGCATGTCCTCTCCCCATAAGCATGTCCTCTCCCCATAAGCATGTCCTCTCCCCGTATGCATGTCCTCTCACCGTATCACCTGACCAGGTGGAAGGGGCTATCCTCGTCCGCTTAGCAGAAAGAGCCGAAATAAATAGAAAAAAACAAAAATACAATGCAAATAATGAGATGATGACAAAGCACGACCGAGCATGCTGCCTATGTCACAGCGAATCCCCTGTGCCCTATACAGCACGCCCAAAGGGCGCTCTCCTGAGGCACCTCAGAACGACTCCTGGGGTGCCTATACAGCACGGCCCTCGTGGTAGCAAGTCCCCCTGCGCCAGATACAGCACGCCCACAAGGGCACTCTTCCGAGGCACCTCAGAACGACTCCCTGGGGCGCCTCAAAAGCTATGTCACTGGGAGGTCCTCTGCTTCCTATACAGCACGTCCTCAGTGCACCCAAACACGAGGAGATCCGAATCTCTTGAAGGTGCTCAGTGCAGCCGGCACGAGCAGCGTTTTTATTAGATCAGCACTCCCCTGAATCAGCACTCCCTTGAATCACCACCCCAGACTTGGCAATGCCGTCTGACATCCGGAAAAGGTCATCCAAGCATGCACCTGGAACGGCACACAGCATGCATGGTGAAGCATGCATGCATGAGTCCATGGAGCAGCAGCTCATGCTCCCCCACAGTTATGCCCATGCTGTCAATCCTATTCAGCTGGCATGTGCTGGCGTTTGAGCTCGCACTGGTTCTCACACTGATTTTGCAGTAAGTGCTGCTGCTGCTGCTGCTGCTGCTGCTATCACAACTACTGCTACTGCTGCTGCTGCCCCTGCGGCTGCCCCTGCTGCTACTGCTGTTGCTGCTGATCCAACATGAGATTCTGTTGTTTCTCTGATAAAGAGGCTGATTTTGCACTGGCTGCTGCTGCTGCTCCTGCTGCTGCCGCTGCTACGGCCCCTGCTGCTGCCCCATCTGCTGCCCCTGCTGCTGTTGCTGCTGCTGCTGATCCAACATAGCATTCTGTTGTTTCTCTGATGAATAGGCTGATTTTTCACTGCTGCTGCTGCTGCTGCTGCTGCACCTGCTGCTTCCCTGCTACTGCCCCTTCTGCTGCCCCTTCTCCTAATGGTGCTGCTGCTGCTGCTACTGCTGCTGCAGCTGCTCCAACATAAGATTCTGTTGTTTTTCTGATAAAGAGGCTGATTTTGCACTGGCTGCTGCTGCTGCTCCTGCTGCTGCCGCTGCTACGGCCCCTGCTGCTGCCCCATCTGCTGCCCCTGCTGCTGTTGCTGCTGCTGCTGATCCAACATAGCATTCTGTTGTTTCTCTGATGAATAGGCTGATTTTTTCAGCTGCTGCTGCTGCTGCTGCTGCTGCACCTGCTGCTTCCCTGCTACTGCCCCTTCTGCTGCCCCTTCTCCTAATGGTGCTGCTGCTGCTGCTACTGCTGCTGCAGCTGCTCCAACATAAGATTCTGTTGTTTCTCTTATAAAGAGGCTGATTTTTCACTGGCTGCTGCTGCTGCTCCTGCTGCTGCCGCTGCTACGGCCCCTGCTGCTGCCCCATATGCTTCCCCTGCTGCTGTTGCTGCTGCTGCTGATCCAACATAGCATTCTGTTGTTTCTCTGATGAATAGGCTGGTTTTCCACTGCTGCTGCTGCTGCTGCTGCTGCACCTGCTGCTTCCCTGCTACTGCCCCTTCTCCTAATGGTGCTGCTGCTGCTGCTACTGCTGCTGCAGCTGCTCCAACATAAGATTCTGTTGTTTCTCTGATAAAGAGGCTGATTTTTCACCGGATTCTGCTGCTGCTCATGCTGCTGCCGCTGCTATGGCCCCTGCTGCTGCCCCATATGCTACCCCTGCTGCTGTTGCTGCTGGTGCTGATCCAACAGAACATTCTGTTGTTTCTCTGATGAATAGGCTGATTTTTCACTGCTGCTGCTGCTGCTGCTGCTGCACCTGCTGCTGCCCTGCTACTGCCCCTTCTGCTGCCCCTTCTCCTGATGCTGCTGCTGCTAATGCTGCTGCTGCTGCTGCTGCTGCTGCTGCTGCTGCTGCTTCTGCTGATGCAACATAAGATTCTGCTGCTGCTCTGATGACGAGGCTGATTTTGCACTGGCTGCTGCTGCTGCAGCTGCTGCTGCCCTGCTACTGCCCCTTCTGCTGCCCCTTCTCCTGATGCTGCTGCTGCTAATGCTGCTGCTGCTGCTGCTGCTGCTGCTGCTGCTGCTGCTGCTGCTGCTTCTGCTGATGCAACATAAGATTCTGCTGCTGCTCTGATGACGAGGCTGATTTTGCACTGGCTGCTGCTGCTGCAGCTGCAGCTCAGACTGAAGAGACTGCAGCTGGGAAGCAAGCAGGTGAGAGTTTTTCAACAACAGAGCTGCATCCGGTGTGGCACAGCCTGTGAATGGTAGGACAGCCCTGGCATCTCATGTGTACCAGAACGATTGTTGGGGCACCTCAAATGCTACATCATGGGGATACCCTCTGCTCCTGCCCTGTACACCACGTCCTCCGATCCGAGCATGCTAGCACTGTCACAGTAAAGCCCTCTGTGCCTTGTACACCTCGTCCCCTGTGCAGTCAAGCACAACTAGATCAGTGTCGCTGGCTTTGTGTACAGTCGGCATGGGCACCAGTTCTAAATCATCTCTCAGTTGAATCAGCACTCAGTTGAATCAGCACTCCCTTGAATCAGCACCCCGGACCTCCGAGCATGCTACCAATGTCACTGGGAAGGCCTCTGCTCTCTATACACCTCGTCCCCAGAGCAGTCAAACACAACTAGATCTGCATCGCTGGCTTTGTGTGCAGCCGGCGCGAGCAACATTTCATTAACAGCACTCCCTTGAATCAGCACCCTGGACCTCCTCCGAGCATGGCAGAACACTGTCATGGCGAAACCCTCAGCTCCCTATACACCACGCCCTCAGTGCAGTCTTTTCAGGTCCCTCAGAACGGCTGTCAGGGTGCCTCAGAACGGCTGTCAGGGTGCCTCAGAACGGCTGTCAGGGTGCCTCAGAACGGCTGTCAGGATGCCTCATATGCTGCATCACTGGGAAGTCCTCTGCTCCCTATTCTCCACGTCCTCTGAGCAGTCGAACACAACTAGATCTGCATCGCTGGCTTTGTGTGCAGGAGGCACGAGCAACATTTCATGATCAGCACTCCCTTGGATCAGCACCCCAGACTTGGCAATCTCGTCTGCCATCAGGAAAAGGTCATCTAAGCATGCATCTGGAACGGTCCCATGCATGCCTGGTGAAGCATGCATGCATGAGTCCATGGAGCTGTGGCTCATGCTCCCCATGGTCATACCCATGCTGTCAGCCCTATTCAATTGGTAGCTCATGCTCCCCACAGGTATGCCCAAGCTGTCAACCCTATTCAGTTGAAGCGAGCCTGTGTGGCTACCCCCATCCTGGATGCTACTAGACTGTGCGCTTGTGCTCGCGCTGGTGTGTGCAGTGGTGTGTGCATCGGCTCCAATAAACCCTATACCCTCAGGATCCGTTCTTGAAGGCCCTGCATTTGTACCCAAGCCATGCAGTGTTGTGTGGCCTATGGGAAGCCCGGGCATTTGAGTGCGGCTGCCTGTGTAGCTACCTGTGATGCCCCCAGAATAAGCCGTATGATCAACTCGCTGCATTACCTGACCTGGCTTCTGCTTTTGTTGCTCCTGAGGATGAACTTGTTGATGCTGCTGCTGCTGGTGTTGCTGCTGCTGCTGCTGCTGCTCCAGCTGCTGCTGAACCTGCTGCAGTGGCTGCTCTGGCTGTTGCTGTTGCTGCTGCTGCTGCTGCTGGTGCTGCTGCTCCAGTATAAGATGCTGTAGCTGCTCCAGAGAAATATGCTGATTCAACACTGGCTGTTGCTGTTGCTGCTGCTGCTGCTGCTGCTGCGCCTGCTGCTGCTGGTCCATCAAAAGTTTCTGTTGCAGCTCCAGAGAAAGATGTTGATTCTGCACTGGCTGCTGCTGCTGCTGCTGCTGCTGCTGCTGCTGCTGCAGGTCCAGCATAAGATGCTGTTCCTGTTGCTGCTGCGGCTGTGATTCGGACTGAAGAGACTGCAGTTGGGAGGCAAGCAGGTGAGAGTATTTCAGCAAAAGAGCTGCATCTGGTGTAGCTCTTGCCATGGCTGCATGTGGTACAGCTCCCTCAAAAGCATGAGCTGCATCGTGTGTGGCACAATCAGTGATTGGCTGAGCAGCCCATGCCTCCCAGGGAGCTATACCACATGCAGCCATGGCAAGAACATCAGCTGGATCCACCCAAGGGAGAAACTCCTCAACACTAGGGACACACGTGTTTTTGGGGGGAAAAGCTTCACCAGTGGTGGTTGTGGCAGTGGTGGTTACACCAGTGGTGGTTATGCCAGGGGTGTTTGTGCCAGGGGTGGTTATGCCAGGGGTGTTTGTGCCAGGGGTGGTTATGCCAGGGGTGGTTATGCCAGTGGTGGTTATGCCAGGGGTGGTTATGCCAGTGGTGGTTATGCGAGGGGTGGTTATGCCAGGGGTGATTATGCCAGGGGTGGTTATGCCAGGGGTGGTTATGCCAGTGGTGGTTATGCCAGGGGTGGTTATGCCAGGGGTGATTATGCCAGTGGTGGTTATGCCAGGGGTGGTTATGCCAGGGGTGATTATGCCAGTGGTGGTTATGCCAGGGGTGGTTATGCCAGGGGTGATTATGCCAGGGGTGGTTATGCCAGGGGTGGTTATGCCAGTGGTGGTTATGCCAGGGGTGGTTATGCCAGGGGTGATTATGCCAGTGGTGGTTATGCCAGGGGTGGTTATGCCAGGGGTGATTATGCCAGGGGTGGTTATGCCAGGGGTGGTTATGCCAGTGGTGGTTATGCCAGGGGTGGTTATGCCAGTGGTGGTTATGCCAGGGGTGGTTATGCCAGGGGTGATTATGCCAGTGGTGGTTATGCCAGGGGTGGTTATACCAGGGGTGGTTATGCCAGTGGTGGTTATGCCAGGGGTGGTTATGCCAGGGGTGGTTATGCCAGTGGTGGTTATGCCAGGGGTGGTTATGCCAGTGGTGGTTATGCCAGGGGTGATTATGCCAGTGGTGGTTATGCCAGGGGTGATTATGCCAGTGGTGGTTATGCCAGGGGTGGTTATGCCAGTGGTGGTTATGCCAGGGGTGGTTATGCCAGCGGTGGTTATGCCAGTGGTGGTTATGCCAGGGGTGGTTATGCCAGTGGTGGTTATGCCAGGGGTGGTTATGCCAGCGGTGGTTATGCCAGGGGTGGTTATGCCAGTGGTGGTTATGCCAGGGGTGGTTATGCCAGTGGTGGTTATGCCAGGGGTGGTTATGCCAGTGGTGGTTATACCAGGGTTGGTAACACCAAGGGTTGGGGCAGCCTCTTGGAAAAGAAGATGCTCTGTGCAGAATAGAAATGGGGGCGCTTGATGCATATGCTGCTGCTGCTGCTGCTGCTGCGGCTGCTGTGTCTGCATCTGCATCTGCGTTTGCTGCTGCTGCTGCTGCTGCTTCTGCTGCTGCTGCTGTGTCTGCATCTGCATCTGCATCTGTGTTTGCTGCTGCTGCTGCTGCTTCTGCTTCTTCTGCTGCTGCTGCCACTGTGTCTCCAGCTGCGGCTGTGTCTGCTGCTGCGTCTGCCTCTGCTCGTGATGAGGCGGCTGCTGGAACTGCTGCTGCTGCGGCTGCTGCTGCCGCGTCCCCTGCTGTGCCTGTGTCTGCTGCTGCATCTGCCTCTGCTCAGGCTGCGCTTGTTGCTGCTGCGCCAGCCTCTGCTGCTGCTGGTGGTGGTGGTGGTGGTGCTGCTGCTGCTGCTGCTGCTGCTGCTGCTGCTGCTGCTGCTGCTGCTGCTGCTGCTGCTGCTGCTGCTGCTGCTGCTGCTGCTGCTGCTGCTGCTGCTGCTGTCCATCCACCCGGTGATGCCCGTGATTATGCAAGCAGATGCACCTATTTATTTGAGCTTGCCCGTCACCGCCTGTGAGTGCTGAGGCATCAACAAGCATAGGACGTGCTTGCTCTGTTTGAGTGTACGTTAAGTTGTCTGCTGGAACAAACGAAGGCTGGAGAGCATTCGACGCTTCAGAAGCTAAGTGGGGCAAGCGTGCAGAATCGAGCAACGGAGAGAATGGGGATGGAGGAGGAGGTGTGGTGGTCCGAGAAGGGGGGCAAGAGAATGGGCCCTGATTGAAGGGTAAACTCGGATTGTTGAAGATTTGACCATGAAAATCTGATGACGGGGAAGCTACATTGCTGGAAACTGGGGGTGGATAGTTGGCTACAGACGGCACGCAAACTATAGCAGGAGGGTGGCTCACAGCAGGATTGAAGGTTGTAGTGGGAGGGAAGATTGTGTCAGGAGCGCGAGTGCAGGGTGTAGCTGGAGCAGAAAAGGAAGCAGGGGCACGTGTTGTAACAAGAGCTGACAATGTAGCAGGAGCGCCGGTCGCAGCAGCAAAAGTAGGAGCGCAGGTTGTTGCGGCAAAAGTAGCAAGAGCGGAGGTTGTAGCAGCAAAGGTAGCAGGAGCGCGGGCTGTAGCGCGAGCGGAAAATGTAGGTGCGCATGTTGTAGTGGGAGAAAGTGATGGAAGAGCGCAGGCTGTAGTGCCAGAGACGGATGAAGGAGCAGATGATGCAGGAGCAGATGATGCAGGAGCAGGTGATGCAGGAGCAGGTGATGCAGGAGCAGATGATGCAGGAGCAGATGATGCAGGAGCAGATGATGCAGGAGCAGATGATGCAGGAGCATAGGATGCAGGAGCAGATGATGCAGGAGCATAGGATGCAGGAGCAGATGATGTAATGGGAGAAAAGTGTGCAGGGGCAGAGGATGCATTGGGAGCAGAGGATGTAATGGGAGACATGCATGCAGGAGCAGAGGCAGGAGTGGGAGCAAAGGATTCAGGAGCAGCCCATGCTGAATGGGGGGTGGGTAATGTAGCACGAGGACCCTGTGCGGCTGGAGCGAGGGCTGTAGCAGGGTACCAGGTTACCACTGCAGCAGGGCCGGAGGAAGAGACACCGACCAAGCTCGTCCGGGAAGTATCGGGAAGCGGCGGCGGGTGGTTGTGTGAGCCGTGGTACACTGTCCTCACCACCACACGCATCTCCGTCCTTGGGAGCATCTCCATTCTGTCAGTAGCCGCGCTGTTTTCTGCGCTCCCCGCAGTTTCTGCTGCATCCACAGTGGGACTTGATGGTCTTGTAGCAGGACCGCCTCTGAATGCGGCTTTTGAGACGGATGCGCTGATGCCTTGATGCCTCGGCGCGGCGATGGTGTTTGAGCGGCGGTGCCTGGCCTCTCCTGCCACCCGGTCTTCGATCTTCTTTGCCGTGCAGCCTGTCGTTTGCTTGGACGCGCACACAAAGTACAGCCTGCAGGAGTCAGTGGGAAATATGAGCTTCGTAAGCACCATCGCCAGTTTGAATTGTCTCGAAAATGGCACAAAAAAAAGTTTTTTTGAGACAGAAGTTTTCCGAAGCTTCAAATATGGAGTCATTGAGAAATAACAGATTTGTTAGCTCCGTCGCCGATTTGGAATGTCCTGAAAGTGCCCTGAAGCTTCCAAAAAGGAGGGTTTTGGGGACAGAATGTTGTGGACCCTCAGAAGTACTATCAGTGGCAGCCATGCGTCATAAGAATGATATTTTCACTACAAAGCAGCTTTTTTTTCTCACACTCTGTGAGTATGCCAGAAATATCACGGTAGAAGCTTGTGTTTTAAATGATATCGACAAACACGGTGTCACATCGTCAACTCGTTTGGAAAGGGTGGTTAGGGCAAATTACAACCTCACCTTTTCATCTGTAGGCCCACAATGCGCTTGTGCGACGTCTTCCTCCATTTGTACTCTTCATGTGGCACGTGTTGCACCGGATTCGGCGTGTGTTGCGCATGAATCGGCGTGTGTAGCACCTGATCCGGCATGTGCTGCACCGTCTGAGTCAGGCCCATCTGTGTTGATGGTATCCCAACACCAGCATGCTCATAACGTGTGTCTGAACTGCCAGAAGCTGAAGCCCTCAGAGTAACAGGCTGGGGCCACCGCGGCACAGCCTGACAGATTATATCATGTTGCTGCTGCTGCTGCTGCTGCTGCTGCTGCTGCTGCTGCTGCTGCTGCTGCTGCTGCTGCTGCTGCTGCTGCTGCTGCTGCTGCTGCTGCTGCTGCTGCTGCTGCTGCTGCTGCTGCTGCTGCTGCTGCTGCTGCTGCTGCTGCTGCTGCTGCTGCTGCTGCTGCTGCTGCTGCTGCTGCTGCTGCTGCTGCTGCTGCTGCTGCTGCAGCTGCTGCTGCTGCTGCTGCTGCTGCTCGTGCCTCTCTGGTTGGGAGCTTGCCGAAGGCGGCATTGTTGCCGCCAGAGGATCACACTCCGAGCTGTCAATGTCGGTGGCTCGCTGATCGGTATGACTCGTGCTGGTCTGATCTGTTTCCTCTGATTCCAAAACAAGATTCGCGTCAAGTCTGGCTGAAATGGACTCCATTCCGAATGGAGGCCTGGGGCCAGATCCACAGTCCGAGTGTGAAAAGAGTCCGGGTCAAACGTCTCTTTAAAGCCAGGGTCTCAAGTACTACGAGTGTTTTGCAGTTGCTGTTGAAAGTTGGGCTGTGATTGGTTGGCGAGGTGAAAGGTTTGAAGTGGGGAGAAGCGAGGGGTGCGAAGCGAACGCAAATCGTTGGGTGTATCCGAACCTTCTAGGCTTGGAAACTTGGTTCGAAACCAAACCTAAAATGCCCCCAACTCATCGAAAGTCTCAAGTACCCAAAAGTGTTGTGCAATCGCTTCTGGGACACTGACGGGGTGTGTCGCACGCTGATTTTCCAAACCAACCAGAAAGAACTTCGTCTGCAATAACTAGGTAACCTAGCTTCAACTGCAAAGCAGTTGACAGCTCCTTAGCTTACTTGAGACCCTGGCTTTAACATAGACTCTTTGCGCCCCAGGAGCAAGTCAGAAGGCGTATGTTGACGACTGATGGAGGATGAAAAAGTGATGTTCGAGTGGAAGTGAAAGTATGCTCCTGGAGCATATCATATGGGAAGTTTGACGCCTCGCATGACAGGTCTTTCTTGGTCCAGTGTCAATTTGTTTTGAATGGCAGGGTGCCAGGCATGGCAAGTTTTGGTCAGCCAGGCGTTTCGGAAACGTGGGGAGGTAAAGGGAATGGCGGGCGGTTCGGTTGAGGGGGGCGGGGATGGGTGGGAAGGATTACAGGACATGCCTCCCTCAAACCAGCCATACAAAATATCACAAGGGGCATGTCAGCTTTCAGATCCAACGGTGTTGGTGCTGTTGGAAAAGGGTCGAAGGGGGGAAAGGAGGGCGGTGGGGGCGTGGGAAGCGAGTTTCAAGTTTGAACACCACGTAAGCAGTGACACGCCATGTCAGCAAAAAGCACGTGATTCTGGCTTGGCATGCGCTGACATTTATCTCAAAAGTTACTTTTAGTTTGGGTCACGTTAAAATTGTCAACAAGGAACTGAAACGTTTGAAACGTTTCTGCGTCACTGTTTCGTCAAGAACAATTTGCAGCTGTCCTTGATCAATGTTCGAGACGCACAAAGTGGTGTGAAAGCGATTCCATGTTTGAAGTCCGGTTCTTTGCGTTGTTTTCCTTCGATCGAGCCTGCCCGACTGCGCGTGTTCCTGTAAAGAGCGCGCAGTTCAGGCTACTCCAAAACATCATCTGCGAATTCAGTACTGGAATTCGTGAAACCCTAAACACTGTATTTGAGGAACATTGGTGAAACCATTCGGAAAACGTTTTTGGGCAAGACATGTACCAGCACAATTAGTACTAGCGACAAATGATCGCCTTGGGGTTCCCTTTCCTTTCCGGGGAAATTATACGCGCAGTCACAATTAGGGGCGTTTTATCACGTTTGATCACGGGGTCATCACGGACAGTCACAGTACAGTACATTGCTATCGCGTGTGATCACAGTGCTATCACGCTTGGTCACACCTTGCCCCGCATACCTATCACGTTTGGTCACTAAATGAAACGCCCGCCAAAAAAGTTGAGATTCGAATCTTACTGTTTCGATTCGGGTTTATTTAGCTCTGGCGCGCGCTTTGTCCGGAGCGAAAAAACACTGTTACCGCCGAAATATACTCGGACTTCATTGAAAAACAGGCTGCGATATTATTCTGAGTTTGTGTATTGCCGTGAATAAACGGGATAAATAGCAGTTGCTTTATATAATTATTGTCTGTCATATTGAAAGAATCTCCACATTATTTTTTGGCAGAGGCAGTTAAAAATATTTCAAGTACAAAATGTAATATTTAAACCATTCATTACTGCCTCTGCCAAAAAAATGTGGAGATATCTTTCAATATGATAGACAATAATTATATAAAAGCAACTGCTATTGATCGCGTTTATTCACTGCAATATACAAACTCAGAATAATATCGCAGCCTGTTTTTCAATGAGGTCCGAGTACATTTCGGCGGTAACAGTGTTTTTCGCTCTGGACAAAACGCGCGCCAGAGCTAATTCAACCCGAATCGAAACAGTAAGATTCGAATTTCAACTTTTTAGCGGGCGTTTCATTTAGTGACCAAACGTGATAGGTATGCGGGGCAAGGTGTGACCAAGCGTGATAGCGCTGTGATTACGCGCGATAGCAATGTACTGTACTGTGACTGTCCGTAATGTCCCCGTGATCAAACGTGATAAAACGCCCTTAATTGTGACTGCACGTATAATTTCCCTCCTTTCCGCGATTGGGTTGCTCGGTCGCGTGGCTGTCGGAACTTAGACGTTTCCTCTGGTTGCCCGTGCCAGTGTATACTGTATTTGGTTAAAACCAATTGTAAATAAAAAGTGATGCGGACACATCAACATAAAATTGATGCGGACACATGCACTCCCTCAGCAGGAGCAATGATCGACAGTCTGGACAAGGGTGCACATCAGCCTGACCGCTAGAAAAATAAGAGAAGAAATGGAACTGTAGTTGAGCGGGTTGTACTGTATCTAGCGTGAGTGAGGAGAGGCCTCGGTGCCAAATTCGTGCTTCCATTCACAAGGTTGTGTCAGAGGCCCTGATGTGTCGGTCAGTACAGTACTGTACAGGACAAAATGGGTGCTGAATCGATGCCCGGAGAGTAACCGCAAGAAGCGGCTGAGTACAAAAAACCCGAAACAAACCGAGCTGACAAAGTGGAATACACCTAACCACCGCTATTTTCTTTCGGTCTATTTTCAACCCCCACGTGCGCAAAGGGGTATGCACCCCTCAAACATTTTTTACCAAGGGTTGTGTCGGACGTCATACGCTCTACGCAGAGTTAGTTCCTGACTCCTGAAAGCTGCGCAATGGGATGCGCAACAGGAAGCAGACTCCACACGAGCGGAAATTGTCTTACACTCGCCCGATTAAAATCTCCAGCGTCCAGCATTTGACGTCATTCGTAGTCCCCCATACCGAGGTTTCTAACAGAAAACCCCGAAAGCTGGGCAGGGTTTATATGAAAATCGGGAACAGTGCCAAGGTGGGAAGTTGAAAATAGCGGTGGCTAGGTGTATGCCGAAACAGTTGCACCGCTTGTCGTACAAGCAAGTGGAGGACATACACCCTATTCACGATAATTGCACACCCCCTACCTTCTTTTTTGAAGGTGCCCTATACCGATTCAGGCTCGATATGACGGACACCCTGAAACTCAAGGACTATCAGTCGACAGCGAAATGCAGTTTCCCTTGAAATTACACCATGTGTTCCGAGTGAGGACGGGGTTG